AGACCAGGCTTTTGTTTTGGACTCTGGGGCAGAGCAGCTGGGGCGCTGCCGATTGGTCCTGCAGCGCCCGTGGGCACTACTGGACCAACCCGGCAGCACCCCAGCTGCTCTGCCCCAGGTCCTGATTCAGCCGCTGCTGGTCAGTTTCAGTTGCTCTGCCCCGGGCTTCCTGGAATCAGCTGCTGATCAGTTTCAGCAGCAGCTGACTTGGGGACGCCTGGGGTTCTTAAGTTGATTCTGTATGTAAGTCAGAACTGGCGGTCAGTTTCAGCAGTGTCTGAATCTGGACGCCAGTTCCAACTTACATACAGATTCAACTTAAGAACAAACCTACAGTCCCTATCTTGTACGTAACCCAGGGACTGCCTGTAATAATAAAAGTCCTTTCCTTTCTTTTTATTAACCTGGCATTGGTTAATAGTGTGCCCTGATTTTTATTTTAGGGGTGAGATTTCCCAAATGATCTTTCCCCTGGTTTCTTTAGCAACATTTGGGTGGTGGCAGCGGAAGTTTTATTCCCAAGATCTAGGTTTTTAAGATTTTGGGGGAAGTTTTATACCAAAGCCTGGTAGATAAGGCTTTGGGGTACACTTGCTGGCCCCCACTTCTGCATTTATCATGCCAAAGTGGGGAAGGAGCCATGACACCACCCTTTCAAGTATGCACTGATGAATCCTCTGTTATCCAAATGTTTCTAAAAAGTTAAAATATTGAAAAAGTTTAAAAAAAACACACACACACACACAAAATTTCATCATTAGGCCTCTCAAACATCATAAAATAATACAAAAGAAAAATTCGTCAGAACAGCGACCATCTTTTTGCTCTGTTTTTAAAGAACTTAGAACTCAATTCTGGCCCATGACCATGAATCCTAGATGCTATGACAAATTCAGATAATAAAAGCAGAAAGATCAATTTTTCTCTTTTAATATGAACAGAAGTTATGCACTATAGTTCTTTAACAGAGCTTTGAGGAAACTCACACAATTTCCTTGTCAGGCTCATCCTTTTGGCCCCAAGAAGAATTGTCTGAGCGGTCATGTTTAACAACAGTTTAAAACCTTTTGTTTCCTAATAGTCTTAAAATTGTGAGCCAATATAAACTGATTCCTGAGGATTGAGGGGGGAAAAAAAAAAAAAAAAAACAAGTGTTCAGCCTTTTGCAGAAGGCTGAATAGACTCCTTGCCTTCTTTCTTCTCTTCTACAGAGATTCTAAATATAGAAAGGAACAAAGATGCAGATTGGGTGGGCTAATTCACATCTTTGTTTCAGTAGAAGACTAGCTTAAGGGTTCCACAGCCACTCACCAGTATTTTAAATAGTTCCAGAATTGTATAATTAGACGCACAACCCTTAAAGGTGGGTTCTGTGGAGACTGAGTCAGGACACAACAAAATGGGAACAAGATTTACCTTAAATTAAAATGGCAATTTGTTCTACTGTTATGTTTAATGAACAAATAACATTTCAAAACAAATGAATACTTCTAGAAATGATTAAACAATGTTTTTATTATAGATTTGTCTTTTCATAATATGAACTCCATTACAGGCAGTCCCCGGGTTACGTACAAGATAGGGACTGTAGGTTTGTTCTTAAGTTGAATCTGTATGGAACTGGTGTCCAGATTCAGCCGCTGCTGGTCAGTTTCAACAGCGGCTGAATCAGGACGCCTGGGGCAGAGCAGCTGGGGGGCTGCCGGTTGGTCCCGCAGTGCCGCTCTGGGTGCTACTGGACCAATCCAGCAGCACCCCAGCTGCTCTACCCCAGGCGTCCCCAAGTCAGCCGCTGCTGAAACTGACCAGCGCTGACTACAGGAAGCCCGAGGCAGAGTTGCTCTGCCCCGGGCTTCCTGGAATCAGCCGCTGATCGGTTTCAGCAGCAGCTGACTTGGGGACTCCTGGGGTTCTTAAGTTGAATCTGTATGGAACTGGTGTCCAGATTCAGCCGCTGCTGGTCAGTTTCAACAGCGGCTGAATCAGGACGCCTGGGGCAGAGCAGCTGGGGGGCTGCCGGTTGGTCCCGCAGTGCCGCTCTGGGTGCTACTGGACCAATCCAGCAGCACCCCAGCTGCTCTACCCCAGGCGTCCCCAAGTCAGCCGCTGCTGAAACTGACCAGCGCTGACTACAGGAAGCCCGAGGCAGAGTTGCTCTGCCCCGGGCTTCCTGGAATCAGCCGCTGATCGGTTTCAGCAGCAGCTGACTTGGGGACTCCTGGGGTTCTTAAGTTGAATCTGTATGGAACTGGTGTCCAGATTCAGCCGCTGCTGGTCAGTTTCAACAGCGGCTGAATCAGGACGCCTGGGGCAGAGCAGCTGGGGGGCTGCCGGTTGGTCCCGCAGTGCCGCTCTGGGTGCTACTGGACCAATCCAGCAGCACCCCAGCTGCTCTACCACAGGCATCCCGAGAAAAGCCTGGTCTGCTGGGGGGGGAGGGGGCGCAGCTAGTACGCCCCCCCCCCCCCCAGCAGACCAGGGAGACGCGGAGCAAACCCCGTTCATAACTGCGGATCCAACATAAGTCAGATCCGCGTAACTCGGGGACTGCCTGTACTCTAGAATGCTCCGATAAGGCGCACAAAAGCAACTCACTAGTGAAGAATTTTGGTGCCATCCCTCTGGAAAATTCAAGCTATATCACTACATGCCCTTTCTAAATTTAATTTAGAATTGGCAGCATGAGTTGCAGTTATACAGTTTTAATGATAATCCAATTGCTTATTACAGATTTTGATATTTCTAGAGAGTTATCAATTAGCATTACAGTAAAATCCCTGGCTACAGTCTGGTCCTGCTTTGCCAAGCAGTCTTAATATTCACAAAGTAATGTTATTCAAAATAAGTGAGACAGGAGACCGAGTTCCCTATATACCATTTGTTTCAGATAACTTTTGGAAATGTCTCGGATACATTAGCAACTCAAAAAATGGTGTTTCGAAATTTTAAATGATTGACTACTTTTATAAATGGTTAACAGATGCCAGTCTCCCAATGTTCCTTAATATTGTTTCATTCAAACTGAAAAAAATCCTCATTGCTAATTTGCTATTTAGTGACCCACATGCCATCTCTCATCAGGTTTTCTCTCGTCTACTGTTCATCTCCTCTCCTACATACATTTTCTTTGCTACCTCACAATCCTACTTGACCTCTCCCTACCCAGAGCCACTAGAATGGGGTTTTGGACAAGAAAAGAAAAATGCTGTCTCTCTCTTAAAGGCACTTAGGTAGTACTCCAGAAATCTGACTACTGTTTCCAGATCTGCCGCATACTTCCTGTAAGACGTCTGTGATTTTTTAGTTCCCATCTGTAAGCAATGACTTTCCTTCCACAGAGGGATGTCCTAACATGCCTTAAAGGTATGGACAAATAGCCTGAATTTGATTCAGTGGAAAACAAGACAACAGATACAGACCTATGTAAAATTTTCACCACTCAGACCCGATGGATAAAATAATTCCAACTAACCTTTTGCACTTTCTATCTCAAATATTTGATTCTCTGTGAAAATATTTCAAAGTGCACAAAGACAGCATATTTGAAAGGCTAAAACAAACTAGCAGAACCATTAGGCTTTGGGCAAAGTGAAAAAAAAAATCAAACATTTTTATGAAAGTTTTCACAGAAAATACTCCATTTTTGACCAGTAAGTTATACTTGAACTTATCTAAAAAGTTTAAAAGGATGCTGTAAGAACATCAAAGTTATTTCTTTTGCAAACCAAGAAAAAAAAGATACGTTAGATCTAATGTTCAGAACTGATCGATGACCTAGGATGGCTCAATTTATAGCACTTTATTATTTTTGTACTTTTTACACCCAAAAATGTCATTGCCCACCCAGCTACAATTAAGTTTTTTAAACAAATGTGTGTCTGAAAACTGTAGGTACTGGGGCTTTTGTTTGTCTGTTTGTTTTCTAAGGGGGGGATTACTTTATAAAAAAAGGTTGAGAAACACTGCTCTAGATAAAGGAGGCTACTTCATCGTATCTGACTTCACAATAATAAAAGTCCACTACTCAGTAAATGCCTATTAATAATATTACAAAAACATAACTGATGTTTGAGAAGCAAACATCAGTACAGTATTAAACAATCTGACTCAACATGACAAGGCTGAAGGAAGTGGTAAGGAGCAAGCAAGGTAAATAATGAAAAAACGATAATTCTTCTGAATTAAAAAGTAAACAAGAAAAATTAAAGTAGTAAGACTGAATATGTTACCGTTCACCTGAAAAAAAAAAAAAAAAAAACCACCACCGGAAAGTCAGTTTCTTCATTCTTAAAAACAAGTGTGCGATTAAACTACCTACTGACCCAGAAACATCAGAACATTGATGAGTTAAAATAATTCTGCTGAGGCATTTTTATACCATGTTAATTATTTAAGTCACTGTTCCAATCTTTTGAACAGCTACTTCACCATCATTTAGGAATAGTCTCTCTAACTCCCACAAAATGGCAGAGATCAAATTGTGATTATACCATTAAGAAGAAATGAAAAGCAAAGACTTGAACTTAAATAAGACAGCTGCAGCCTTCTTTTATACCCACATCTCCTTCAAATATTTCTTTCAATTTCTCATTTTGTTTTACACTAAAACTCTTATCCCTGATATTCTCATCCGGAGAGCAGATAATTTGTAGGTCCATTAAGTGGAGGCTGCATGAAGACACAAAAGGAGAAATTGAAGAAATATTTAGAAGACTCAATACTGACAACATGGTCAAACACACTAATGCTATAAAGCAGCCATATTGGGGAGGGAATTAATATTCTTTTTAATAGTATTAAGTTTATGCCTAGAAAGCAAAAGGTCATAATATATTCTATCCAAGTAATGCCATTCAAGAACACGGAGAAGTCTTGTCATCTGCTCAGACAAGAAAAATAAAATTAAGTAATAACACCTGAAAAGTGTAGTCTTCTTAACCTTCTGATATATGTATTACCTTCAGCACATTATACAAACCTCATTCAGTAAGTGCCAGCACACTCACACACACACGTGTCCAACAGCAACCATGGATATTTAAAAATTCCAGAACCACCACCAGCCTTTAAGTGAGCCTATAAATCTTCCTTTGCTTTTCTAACTTTGTGTCTTTCTGTAGAGCCCCTTGTGTAATATGCATGCTGTGTTTTGATCAAATTGTCATTGTATTCAATATAAAATATGTCATGTATGCTTAGCAGCTCTTTAAAATTAATTCTATAGCAAAAGCACAGACAGCTATGTTTAAGAGGCCTAACCACAGACTACATGAATTGTCTTTTTGCTATTAAGATGGAGTGTATTAGGAAATGTGTTAGGAAACATGATTATTTAGGATAATCAGTAACATTTGTAAGAGTAAAAATCCTCATCTGAGTCTCTAGCTCTTCAACAACATACCAAATTTGGTGTAAGTAGAAAAAATTCCTTGCATCTAATTACAAGAGCTTCATTTCATTCGCTAGCTATTAAGTAACACACCAAATCTGGTGTAAGTAAAAAAAATTCTTTGCATCTACTTACAAGATCCTCAGCTAATTCACTAGCCTTTAAGAGAAAAAAAATTATTTGCATCTCAAATTAACCACAGAACTGAATAGACAATGAGAGATCAGGCCATAAATACCCTGCACTAACGACTGCGGGTACCTCATCATCTACAGTTCATTCTGGAAACTGAACTCACGTGCTGCTCTCTGACGACAAGAAGGGATCCATACCAAGGCAGGCATCGTAACAGCATTCATCATCCTCTACCTGGCCAGTAGAGAGATGCTGCTACACCTGATCGGGTGAGTCCAAAAAAAATTAACAAAAGACCCTGAAAAATCTAACAAAAAAGAGTCAAAAAATATGACACAGAGTGTCAAAAAATCAAATCAAGAAAAACAAAATTATCTGGATAAGCTATAAGATCCTCATAGTTGCATTTCTTTTAAAAAAAATTATCTAGAAGAAATTAAAAAACTAATTAACAGGTTAGCTGACATCACTAAGTATCCTTGTAATCACGCTAGCAGAAACAATTTGCTTTTTGTATTTTTCTTTTTTTATTCATTTTCTTTTAATTCTTAGCTGTTATCTTTTAACTTTTTTATTCATTAAGTGGCAACATCAATAAAGTTATGCTCATTAATTAAAACACAAATTGGTACTTGGTCTAAATTTATCGATGACTTCCCAGGTAAGCAAGGGGGCAGACCAGAGTTCTGCACAGTCCTAGCAAACCCAAGGGAAGGGGGCGGTTAGCTTAATCGCGACCACTCACTGCAAAATACAGTAATAATGCATGCAAACAGGTATGACATTTTCTTTTAGAGTTCCTACTAAATATCATTGGGAAACTAGGGCATCAGTCTTTTATAAAGACACAAAAAAGTTAGAAAAGCAAATGAAGATTTTTAGGCCCCGTCTCATTACAGGCTCATGACATTCATGTTATAGTTTCAATGGACATCTGCAGGGCTCGATAAACTATAGAATCTACTTGCCCGTGGCGAGTAGATTTCAGCCGCACACCCCGTTTACCAGCGGCACGTGCATGCGCAATGCGGCTCTTGCGTGTGCGCAGCTGGCGAGCAGCTTTTGCCGCTGTTTGTCAAGCCCTGGACATCTGGCTTGAGCCAATTATAAAATAACTGGAATTGCACAATAAGAAATTGAGAAGATATGAAACCTTTCACAGAATCATAGAACACTAGAACTGGAAAGGACCTTGAGAGGTCACCGAGTCTAGTCCCCTGCCCTAATGGCAGGACCCAGTACTGTCTAGACCAGGGTTTCCCAACCTATGGGTTGGGACCCAAATATGGGTCGCCATTACATTTCAAAAGGGTCTCCAAGTGTCTCCCCAGGTGGCTCTGCCCCCGGCCTCCCCATTTTTGAATTGCTTTGGATCACTAAGTCTTCTTGAATGGTCAAAATGGGTTCCCATCTGAAAAAGGTTGGGAACTGCTGATCTAGACAAGTGGTCTCCAGTGCGGTGCCCGTGGGTGCCATGGCGCCCACCAGGGCATTTATGTGCGCCTGTTGAGTGACCAGGGCCAGCCCAAGCCATTCTTGTGCCCCAGAGCCCCAGGCACATGCGTGGCCCCGCCCCCAGGTGCCCAGCAGCCCCAAAACGTTGGGGACCACTGGTCTAGACCATCCCTGATAGATGTCTAACCAACACGCTCTTAAATATCTCCAGAGATGGAGATTCCACAACCTCCCTAGGCAACTTATTCGAGTGTTTAACTATCTTGACAATTAGGAAGTTTTTCCTAATGTCCAACCTCAACCTTCCTTGCTGCAGTTTAAGCCCATTGCTTCTCATCCTATCCTCAGAGGCTAAGGAGAACAATTTTTCTCCCTCCTCCTTGTGACACCCTTTTAGATACCAGATAACCACTATCATGTCCCTGTTGCCCCATAAGGAATAGTTTAAAGGAGAGACCCTGTGGGCAGACAAAATGGAGTCTAGCTGGCTTCCATTTTAAATAAGGAAATTTCACCTCAGATGTGTTTTCCTGCCAAATTACCAATTGTGCACACATCACTATATCTCATTGCACCCCTCTCCTGAATCTGTGCACCCCGGCACCAATGGGCTGCACACTGCCCAAGATAATGCACTCCTCCCTTCCAGGCATTGCACACGACACCATTCTATGCACCCAGCTCCTAACATCTTTTCCCGCCTCAGAGTGCTTATAAACCCTGGTCTGAGGTAGCTCGGGTTCGTCACTGTCCATCTGTTCATCTGTCTAGTCGTCCCTGCTTTCCCCTTTGACGTTCCTTTTTGCCTTGTCATCTTCGTGGTTCATTGTTAATTAACTGAGGCCTAGACCTTGCCCTGGATTGCTATCCTGCGTGAGGGAATTCTTCACGTCTTTGGATCATTGGCATTGGCCAGTGAACTGGGACTCATTATACCATACTCATCTACTTACCTATCGAATCAACCGGAGCAATCGAAGGATCAGACAGGTTCGGGTTTGAGAGAAGCCATACTATGTGGGGACCAAGATTTCTTGGGCCTCATCTCCAGTAGGAGTGAATCGCTACAAGGGATCTCCCCACCAGTCCTCCCTCAAGGCTTACCATTAGCTGAAAGGTTGTAGGCATCAATCGCTGAAAACTTCTTTGTAAAGTATACTTATCTTTTGTTGTATAGGGATCTTTCTATCTTCTTTTTCTTCAGGGATAGGGTGGACTTGTTGTTTAAAGTTGTTTGTTTGTATGTTTGTGCATTTTACTTCAGCAATATATGGTTTGGCCCTAAAGTCGTGTGTGCCTGATTTGTGGCTGTTAATGACACCAGTGATCAGATATGGAATACTGGGTCGAATCTGGCTTGTGCAGAGACACTTTAACATCTTAATACGGCCTATATTTCAATTGCTTATGAAAGTCTCTGTGGTATCATCTCCTCTAAGTCTTCTTCTTTCCAAACTAGCCAAGCCCAATTCTTTTAGTCTTCTTCTCTAGACCTTTAATCATTCTTGTTGCTCTTCTCTGGACCTTCTCCAATGTCTCCGCATCTTTCTTGAAATGTGGTGCCCAGAACTGGACACAATACTCCCAACTGAGGCCTAATCAGTGCAGATTTGAGCAGAAGAATGACTTCTCATGTCTTGCATGTACATCAGAAAACACACACACACACACACACACACACACACACACACACACACAAGGAAAATATACCATGAATTACTTTTTCTAGAAGTCTGCAGATAACTTACTTACAGTGTGATTCTCCTGCTAGCAATTCACTGAAACCAGAGCTCTGACCTGCTAATCACAGCATGTCAGGAATAGCCAAATCCCACAGGATGCCACTAATTTGAGATACTTCCAAACAGGCTGGATTTGATTTAAATCATTATTTAAATAGCTAGCCAGAAAGATTTGATTTAATCATGGTTTTCCTTATAAAAGTGCATTTTTGTTGGTTGTTATAACCTTAATGTGTATTCTTCACAACTCAGAGGTAGATGTTGGTTTCATTTTCAGAAGGTACACAATATACATTTTAAAACAGTGATTTATTTTAAAAACTTTTCAGATTAGTTTTACAGTTATATCAGAAAATGAACAATTGTTTGGTTATTTAATTTACCAGACATACTTGAAGATGATATTTATGAAGTGACTGGACTATCTTCAATTCAATAGGTTAAACATTAATATTTGAATGAAATTTTCATTTTCAGAAGGTACACAATATACATTTTAAAACAGTGATTTATTTTAAAAACTTTTCAGATTAGTTTTACAGTTATATCAGAAAATGAACAATTGTTTGGTTATTTAATTTACCAGACATACTTGAAGATGATATTTATGAAGTGACTGGACTATCTTCAATTCAATAGGTTAAACATTAATATTTGAATGAAATTTTTTGGCAATGCTGTATTAGGAAGAGAACATCCAGCATTTAAATGGTTTTAGTTAACTAAAACAACAATATTATGTATACTTTAAAAAAATTTTCTTCAAAAAACATAATTTAACAAAACAAGCATATGAATTTTTGAATTTAATTAAACATTCAAGTTTTTTAAAATCAGGTGTTTTTGTTAAACTTGTTTTTATCTAAAATGGGTAAATGTCATTTAAAAAAAAAAGTTAACTGTAGAACAGTCTCTGAATCCACATGATTAAGTGACTTTCACCAGTTCACTGGTGTGACTTTCTTTAAAACGTCATCACCAAACATATTTCTGGAATGGTTTACCCTTAGCTATGAAGTTTATTATAGTTGGCATTATGCAAGGATAATTGTTAGACACCCATGTCATAGCTAACTCCTCTTCTTCAGCAGTTAAGGTTTGACACTGGTACCAAATGTTGAGAATATTTGCAAGAAAATGAGCTGGAGATAGCGCTTGTCCCATTTTTTTTTTAAATGCTTGTAATTTAACTCTGTCATTGCATATTTCTCTTTAAGATCTCATTCCATTTCTTCCAAATTTTAACACCATCAGCAATAAAACACCTATTTCCCTGCATTTTGTTCAAGTCTACAAAAATAGGCTTCAGGATACTCAGCATATGTTCAGAACTTAAGCTGTGACACTGCCATCTATTTTTTCACCATTTTGTTTAGAAACTGTCATCAGATTAGGCCATTTCTTGATACAGTGCTCAAAAGAGACCACTACCGAGTTCCATCACACATCTTGTGGGAATGTTAGCTAGGTTCCTCCCACTTTTTTCAGGACAGCTGGTGCAAAGTGGTTGTTATGGAAGTATTTTGCAATTTCAACAACATCAGCCTTCATTTCTAGGCCACTGAAGTCTTTGACTAGGAGGTGCATGAAATAAGCACTGCAACCATGAATCAGCAGCTTGGGACTCTCTACTTTCTCCTCATCTTAGATACATTTGCAGCCTTGTCTGAACAATCTGCATATAAGACATTTGATTCCCACCCACGTTTGTTATAGCTTGTACTGCTATTCTGTGTGTGCATTTCCTAATATAACAGTGTTTCTGTAAGGAAGACGTTCCCTTCTTCTGTTGTCACAGAAGTACAGGCAGTCCCCGGGTTACGTACAAGATAGGGACTGTAGGTTTGTTCTTAAGTTGAATTTGTATGTAAGTCGGAACTGGTACATATTGTAGGGGAAACTCTAGCCAAACATTTCTCCAGAGCTCAGTTTTATTCTCCCACACCTCACTTCCCTCAGCCCTTTATTCTCAAGCTGAAGTGTCTGCTGAGAAAAGCCGCTCCACCTCTCCCTGGTCTGCTGGGCGGGGGGAGGGGGACGCGCTAGCTTCGCATCTCCCTAGTCTGCTGGGGGGAAGTAGCTAGTGCGGGGGGGATCGTTGTGGACACTGCTCCACCCATCAAGACTCAGATCAACAATTTTACCCTCCAGACTTTTGCACACTGCTCAACTTCTTTCATGCACTTTATCGCAGGCAAATTGCTAGATATCAGCTCTGTTGGGTGGACTGTATCCTGGTCTTAATTACTGAACTATATTAATGAAGCATGAGTTTTCAATTAATACAGAAAGGAGAGTTTGTGACAAACAAACTGGGCAATACTCTATCAATTACCTCATTTTGTAATCTGCCAGTTCATATCACAAATTTATCTATGATTGTTGCCAGATTATGGAGATTTTTTTTCCTTTTTACTTCAGGTGATATACTGTGGCTATGTGACATGCATGATGCGAGTGACATCCTATCATTGGCAGATAACTCTGAAAGTATAGAAAATGAGGGTGATATTGAAGGTGCATAGTCTTCAGAATCCTGTATGTCGAGGATGGATTCTCCTAAACAAAATAAGTCAGAGTAACAACTTATGTTTGAGCAAAAAAAAAAAAAAAAAAGTGATAATTCAAGAATAGACCAGAAGGAAGACAGGAAGTCCTTAAAGAAATTTGAAACAAAATTTTTTTTTACAAACCTGAAGATTCTGCGTGTTCAGGCATGGTCCTTTGGTCATCCTCAATATAATTTCCTCCTGAGAAGGAACACTTCTCATGATGTTTTTTAAATCAAGCAA